GCCCTGAAATGTTTAATATTAAAAATAGATAACGTATAAATGTCTAGCAAATAATACTGCAATAATATAGAAAAGGATTTGCAAGGAATAAATAAAAGTAGGCAACTGCTTTTGTAAGAACTAAGAAATAAGGGACAGATTGGTTTAGATAGTACTGTCGCTGGAAGATGGCTAAAAGTTCAATAAAGAGAAAAACATCAAGAATGCATTTGGAAAGAAGTGGTGTTAGGGAAATTGCATTTAGCAATTCTAGTCTCTAGAATAATCCAAGAAAAGAATGACGTTCCCTATTTGAAAATCGAAACACTCCACATGAGGAATATGTGGATGCTATGCAACCACTAAAAGAGAATAAGTTGGCAGGCCACCTTGCGCAGTAAGCAGTAGAAACTAGATTTGTTCAGGCATTCCACAGTTTGAGTATAAGTTTTGAGTATGAATTTGTAACTACACTCTGTTTGATCCATCTCTAGGTCGAAGTGCCCCAAGCACATTGTGATTGATTAGTAATATCCGAGACTGCTATCGACCTAGATCAACTTTTCAAGTTTGTTTCTTCTTTACTAGACTAAGGCAATAAGCAGCATCTTTTCTTAGCCACCAATCGTCATAAATTCTTCTTGCGTCAAGTAATGTCAAGTCAAGAAAAGCTTTAGTCTACTGGTCTCATCGGCATTGCCGTTGAAACCTAAATCGGACTACAATAGTAGTGGATCTAGTAAAAATATCCGGATTGATTGTTCTTCACTGCTCTCAAAGAAATGTACACTGTCCACAACTAAACCATAGTAAATCAATGAATTGCAATGTTATGAATGCCACAAGTACATCGACTAACGGAATTGGGTAGAGGTCGCGGTCAATGCCACACAGGCCCAAGCAGTACTTTCTATTTCGTCCATCTTGGTGATAACTGAATTTCGGTTTTACAACTCAACGTAAAGGCTACAAGCTGGTTGTTGGTTCCTATTGCTTAATTCCCTAGTTGTTAAACCAAGCATAATTCGCAGCTCCAAGCAAAGTTTATCATAGATGACTGGTACATCTAAATCAACCGCAAAAACTAGTCCTTGCTGTATAGGTTCCCTTACTACATGGCCCAAAACAACTACTTTGTTGCAGTACCCCGTCCTTCAGGGACAAACATTCACTCAACAAAGTCAAGTCCGCGAACATTACAGCACGTTTGGCAGGCCAAACCCCTCGACAAAACTTTCATGTTCAAGTCCATTACTAAGGACGCTTCTGAGTCGATGAGGTTCCTCCTTTGCTTCAGTTAATCAAATGGTGAATCACACAAGAACATCAGCCAATTCGAGTCCAATAATCGAAACCGTCACACCCGCCTCCCATTGGATGTCTGGCTCGCTCGGTTGGTCCATTTGTTCACGCTGATCTAATACTACCTTCACTTACTGTGCTCCAGATTGATAGAGTTTTCGCCTTATTTTTGGAAGGAAGTAACAACCCCGACTATTAGAATGCATATGGAATCAATGTGCAATTTTGGGCGGAATAAGTTGCTCGTCTGCACGAACATGGAAATTAGTTTTACTTCCAGGGATAGGGAAATTTTCCCCGAAAGCTGAAATACAAGATGGATTTCTAAACGTTGATTGACGTTCCTGTGTATGCATCGCTTCATTATAATCGGTCTAAACTAGTTATTCAGTACACAGTCAAGTCATAACTATACTCTTTTACGGGCAAATTAGCGCATAGCTCTAACGTGCTAGCTTGTTAACAAAGCACAATCACCTGTTGTTCCTTAAAGTTAGCACGCGTATGAATCCCGAGTTACATGCATGTAGACAAGTAGAGCGAGAATGGATTCATACGCGTGCTAACTTGAATGAACCACCGGTGATTTTGATTTTTAACAAGCTAAATTATTAGCTCTAGGTCTTAAGTTGCCTGTAAAATGATATAGATAGTTATGACATTTGTAGCTATCATCACGCCTCTTCATTCGGTAGCCATAGAAACAGTCTGTTGCAATAGGTTGCGCTGCCTTTTCTATTATAGTTAACATGAAGAAGCGCAAGTAGTAATGTCTAACAAGAGCCCAGGTCACGGCAGTCTTTTGAGATTCCTTTCACCGATATTTTCAGCTCTGCCATAGTTCTTTCTTACTTAAGGCATACAGTTTAAAGTCTTCAAATGACTGCACGATTGAAGCCCACTTATTTCTGAAGTAACTCGGATAATCAGCTAACAATTGACCACAATAGTTGTGTCCGTTTGAGCTTGATGTTTATGCGTCAAAACGACAGAAATTTTCAAGCCATTTACCATTTGGAATCAACTCCTTACGTTAAATTTTATTTATGATCGAAATTGTAAACCTTTCGAGGACCTAAATGATACGGTGCAATTAATATAAACTGGTAGTCAATACAAGTTTATCACTTTTTATTGCTTGTATTTTCATCTAAACTCCGTTTTAGCACGGTCTGAAGATATGGTAACCGAAGATAGCAGTCTCGGGTATCCAACCTGGATCTTTCTTCTTCTACAGTTTTCTACGCACTCAACCGCCACTGAAGCCGTTTTACAGGAACACAATTTTCCCGAGCACAATTTACTGAGTAACCGGGTCTCACTTAACCGACGCTCATTGACCCAACCTCCAGTGAATTCAGAACCGGAACCTGAGTCCCAGACACGAATCGAAATGACTTATGGAATCACCGTGAATCGTAAGGCGCTCATCACTTGTGAAATAACGCTGGGTACGGCTGATTCAACTGCAACTGTATCTGAACAATCAACTAGCGCCGTGTACCTTATCTGCCCACAGGTGAGGGAACCATTATTCCCACAATTCTCTCTAAATCGCTAGTAGGAACCTTTTTGAGGAGAAAAAGTCAGCACCCATCCATGGATCGAGTAACTGACAATCAGTCAAACTTAGACAGTGTAAAGTTTTGAAGCAGTTTTCCAGTTCTGCAGCAGCACTGTTTGCCCATATTTTGTTTCGGGGAGTCCTAGATACAAAATACCACGTTTTCAATGGATGTTTTAGTTTCGGTGGATATAACTATTTTACTTCGTTTGAATATTTGCATAAAATCGAGGTACTAGTAACACTGTTTACCGGTGGTTGCTACGCATGGCTCTCACTTGGATTTACTCCCATACCGCTTCTGTGCAACAGCTTGCACATTACAGTAGCCATCCTCTGCCAGTTCACAACTGTGTCAGCTTACTCACTAATAATGTAACAACCTATATATTTGTAAGGACAAATAAAAATACCGAACCAGCGTTACTAAAATTACACCGGATCAAGCAAAACTGCACGTATAAAGGAGGTATTATCCTCCTTTTCGTCTGTTCGAGACTCGCCGGCAGCACGCGGTCCATCTACTTTTTTCAAGCCAAGTCAATATAAGTTTTATATACCGCGGATGGTAGATTTTCAGCACATTACAATATCCACTGCGTATGTTTTAAAGTAACAGCATTAAAATCGCGAAATTGTACAACGGGTTAAAAGGCCATTAGGAGAATGTATGTCAATCAAATAAACCATCCCGAACCTGCATTCGATCCGGACGAGTATTTACTAAATTACATAAAGCCTTCTGGTAACTTCGCGCGATTCGTGCAGTACCACAAAGTCCATCTTCAAAAATCGGCACGGTCAGCGTTACTGAACTTGCAACTGTTCCAACAGAAGAAAATGTCGGAGACTCAAAGAAAACTAATAAAACCGCAGCTGATATAGCGAGAGAGACGTTCCAGTGAAAAGGCAACGGCCGCTTTACAAGTGTCGCGAAACTTCAGTAATGAATCAGTAGATGATTTCATATGGTTAAGCTTTGGCAGCCGCAGCCAGTGTGAAATGGCCCAAGGCATATACTCTGCTATTATCTGTTTTCGAAGTGTACCGGACAGATCTGGCTGGAAAGTTTCAACATACTAGCTGCCGAATCACCCGACGAAAGTAATCCATGTTTCAATCTCATTACCCCTCAGGTATGTATAGCTGCTGAGTTGCAGTAAAGGGTGGCACACCTAATGTGGGTCTCGCAGGATCAAGTATGCCATAATTATGTTGCTTCGTAATCTGCGATAGCGTCCGCTGAATACCGCAATCGTTGCAGTCTCTCCTGGTATGAAAGATTGCGCATTCTAATTACGTTCTTAGATGCCCGACATTGTGGCTGCTCCAGTGCATTAAGGTCATGTTTCAGCCATGGATGCCAGGCTTGAATTGCGTATTCGACAAGGGGGCGAACAGACGTACTGAGCACTTGTCCAAATATGGAGCCGTTTATTTGTCCAAACGCATGTCGCAAAAGTCCGAGGTCTTGGTTTCTAGCTTTCGATGGCTTTTCGGATTTTCTGGAGCAACCCAAGTCATCTTGAACCAGGACACCCAAGTCACTTGCAAGAGTTGATTGTTGTAGTGTATTCGTTCCGAGCTGGTATGAGTAGCTGCTCTGATGTCGGATGGAAGGCACCTTACATTTACTGATGTTGAAATGCAGTAAATTTGGGTTGACCAATGATATACCGTATCTAGGTCACACGAAAACTGATGCTGGTCGGCCTTTACCAATATCCTGTGTCAAATCTTGATATCGTCCGCAAACATTAGGAAGTCTGAAGCGATCCCCTGTGCAATCTCATAAACAAACACCAAAAACCGACGTGGATCTAGAACTGAGCTTTGCTGCACACCACGCTCGACTTGTATGGGGTCCGATAAAGAGCTCCGAACTCTGCTTACTAATTGCCGTTGAAGAAAAAGTTGCCAAAGCAGCTTTAAAGGGGCTCACTGATCCCATACTGCTGAAGCTTGGAGAGTAGCATCAGATGATCTGGACGATCGAAGCCCTACGAAAGATCCAGGTAGATCACATAAACGTATTCTCCATTGTCAGCTGCCTCGGTCCAACTACTGCATGCGATTAGTAAATCCCTTTTGCATGACCACGATCGACGGAAGCCGTGCTGCTCAGGCGTGATGATGTTACAATTTTCCAGATAGCACACTATACCTTTTCGGAAGCAAGCCAGTCCCTAACGGAATCAAGCTCCTCCTTAAGAATATTCAACCCAATTTCTAACCACATCAAGCTGAATTCATCGTCTTGACCAATTGCAAATCAGTACAAGTGTACTCAGAACGTCTGCATCGGTTGGTGCAGCGCTCAGCCAACAAACCACGTGAGGCACAGTGAACGCGAAAACAACACGTGAGCTCATTCACTGTAGGATGGGTGCGGACTAGCACGCGGCATCTATGGGCGGTTGAGGAAGTACTGTAACTTCCACCCACTCACTTACGCGGCATCAAGACACACAACGCAGAAGTGGGCGGCCATCCGCGTGCTCACTGTTACGCGCAGACAACCAGACATGAAATCAACTCTACTACGAGACAGTATCGATTGCACTGGGTAGGGTGAAACACCGTTTGACTGAAGAGATTAACCTAGGGAGTGACCGAAAATTAAGTTGGTTGAGACAACCGACAGTGACATTGCGGTATGTTGTTCTAGCTCGGGTTTCAGTCGGAAGTAGGCACTAAAGAACATGATGTTATCATTAGATCGCCAATGTCCACTATGTTGTACATAATACTGGCAAACTCCAGTAAATGGCCAAAAGTTGTTGGTATCAAGTGGGTGGCACATTTTGAACACAAAAGTGGATAAGAAAAGCTAGTTTGTGAGGAATCGGAAATCGCCCACCATAGAGTAGCACATCACCATTCCTTGACTGCTCAGTTTGCAAGAATGATTAGCTTCCGAACCGATATATCGTCAACCGACTGACACAGATGGGACACAGTACTACAATTC